TATATATATATATATATATATATATATATATATATATATATATATAATCTCATTTGTATAATTGTTAGTATTATTCTGGTAAAGGAATGGCATTTTACCTGCTTCAATCACATATAGTACAATGCATTTCATGTATATTTGCATGTGCCAACTTGGGGACAACACATGAAAACAAAAGGCATCTTGAGATGCCTCTTTTAAAAAGTAGAGACTCCTATGCAGTCTCTATACCCTGAAAGAAATAGTCTATCTTGCTTCATGGTCCACAGGCCAATTAAGAGGTAACATTCAGGCAATGAAATTCTCCAAATGTGTTGTTTAGTCATGGAGAAAATGATTCATAATAATTTCTAGGTAGTTCTGACAGGAAAGCAGCTTCTCCCAAGGCAAACAGTGGTTATAAGCTTTCCATCTGAGTCTCTTGACACGATACAGACATTTGGCTTAAAAATATGTGAAATGGGAACATTTTCCCAGGTTAGAGTTTTATGTGTAGCTTCCTCACTACCTTCATACACATTTCTGAACTGCATACAAAGAAACCTCCAAACTGGTAAGCCATGCTTTCTATCTAGCAGCTTGGAAGCAGGAGGCCTTCATGTATTTATGACTTTTGCTAGCTTGACCTGCTCTTCCCTCGCTTTGATATATCCATGGCCCTGAATGTGGACAAGTCTATTAAGGAGCCAAGAAGGCAACCCCATTATTGAGATATCTCAATGAACTTCAAGTGATGAGTTAATGCTGAACATTGACCTCAACTACACCTCCCAACCCAGGGGTCTGGCAGCCAACACATCTGCCAGCATGCCAGCCCTTATTGGCTTTGTGCTTTCTCTTCTTTGGGGCTGAGGGTGCACTCAAGGCCCAACTTCAAAGTCATGGGGTTCCCCTGTACCCTTACAGTCTTACAAGATAGGGGTGCACTGTTAGTGATTGAGATGAGCCAGCATCAGAAACCAAAGCCATTAGTTTTTAGGTTCCATGCAAGCACACGACTAAAAGGTTGGTGATTCTGTTTGAATACTTTCAGGCAACCTTTGTGCCTTCCTTGTGGGAATCAGAATTCAGAGAAGGTCCTTCCTAGTTCCTAAAAAGGGAGTTTATCACAGCGGAGGTATCATTCTTTCAGGATGGTATCCTTTCTCAGGACAGGCCTGGGGCTAAGTTTTCACAACAATACCTCTGGGAATCTTAGCAGGGAAAGGGGGTGCAAGGAAAGACTATAGAAAAGTCTCTGCAGTGAGAGTGTGATGTTCCCACATGTTCATCACCTCACCCTGCTAAATGTCTTGAAGAAAGGCACCCTCAACTTGTAAGGCTATGCCTGCTTCTAATTATCCAAAAGAAGTTTGCTTTTTAATTCTCTAAACCATAACTTCATCTGATTGAGAACAACAACTTCTGTGCCAGTGCTGGGGTATTGTCCACCATTTACTTAGAATGGCGAGATGATGCCACCATCCTCCAAAGGGATTCTTGGAGTCTTGATTAATTATCCATTTTCATACTACCAGACAACAAATGATGAGGCTGAGAGAGCTCCTTTAAAAAAATTAAGAAAGAAAACTAAAAATTTTAGTTAAACCTTTACCTTTTCCTACTGACTTTAGAAATAGCCTCCGCTATTTAAAAATTCGTGTTTAGAAGGTCTGAGGTGATAATGAATGAAAACCACTGTGGCTTTTGAAGTCCAAAACACAATTACTCTTAATTCAGTACTGAGACTCCAGTTATTGGTGAGAAATTCATCAGCAGGCCTCATCCCAGCCTTCCCCTCTTCAATGTAACAAAGCTGGCACTCATTAATTGATCACACACAGAGGAGAAGCAATGCAAAGGTGCATTTGAAAGACCAATGGAGGGCCAATTTAGGGATCCAGGAGAAAGGAGCTCTCCCACCCAGAGCTGCCCCTTCTGAACTCGTTTCGGGCATAGCTGCCAGACCAGGGCATACAGCTGCGAGACCTACCTGACAACTTCATTTCCCACTCTGATGCTTCCCTCCCCACCCCCAGCTGGTGCATTCAGACATCAACTTGGCTGAGGTAGGAGATTTAGCACTTGCTCAAAATCTAACACCCACACTGAGCTACTTAGTTTTTGCTGTTGCTGCAATATTTCTGAATACATTTAAAAAGATATGTTTCCCTGAGTGCCTTTCAGGAGCCAACAGCTTTTTATGAAAAGAGTATGCCACTTCCTGAATACCTTTCTTTCTGGGTCTTTCTGATACAACTTCTCACCATTGCTCTGAGAGATCAGTCTAGGAAAAAAGATCCAAGCCTTAATGAAGTGACGTGTGAGGGTGTCTACGCAGGCCAAGCGGGTCAGAGCACAGTTCCACTCCCCACTGCAGCAGACTAGCTCTCTGTTACTCTGCTCCCTGTGTCCTATGTTCATGGCTTCCATGATTAGGGTGTGAAAATTCTTTCCAGGTCTTTCTCCCTTGAAGGGATTTTCGAGTAGTGGTCTGATGAGACTGTGGTCACTTTTCTGGAATCCTGGCTACAGGCGAGGTGGTGCTACTATGTGTTGTTCAGGGACCATCTGCAGACTTTCGCCATGCTTGGCTCAGCAAACATTATCTTTGCCACAGGGTGATCATCACACACAAAAATTAATAAATATATACAATTTCAAAAGACACAGAAGTTGCATGCTCTAAAACAGGAAGAGTGTTAGCCTCTTGGAGTCACCTACAGACGTTAACAAAGGTACAACTAGACTAAGGTCAGTGTGGTTAGGGCCCAGACAGTATCATCTACTTCAGCCTCTAGGGGACAAAAAAGGGACCAGAACTAAATTAAGAACTAAGACTAGCAGATGTTAACACTATGGAAACAGGTAATGAGGTATGAAGAGGCACTTACGTGGAGGAGGGCTATCTGCATTTCCCATGGATGGAACACAGACGAAAAGAAAAGCCAAGAGACAGACCCAGGGAAAAAAAAATAAGATGTAAAAGAAATGAACAGAATCCGCAGAGCACATGGAGCTGGAAACTCAAATTATCAAATTATTTCAAAATGCAGAAAGAAGCAATCCCTGCAGAAGGAATGAGACAGCCTTTTCTACTTCTGGGAAGAGGCGAGGGGGTCCCTTTGCAGGCCCATGGCTTCCAAGGCAGAAGCAAAGGATTCTGCCACGTGCATTTTGAATCCAGGGGCCAGGGAGAGCCCAGAGAGCTCTGTGGCCACTCAGGAATCAGGTTCTACAGCTTCTTCTTCAGCTGGACAGACTCAGGAGCCCTGCAGGGCAGCAGCTCTGGTCTGTAGCAGAGTGTGCCAGAGCAGGGCTTGACCAGAGTCTGGCTGCTATGGGAAGTGAGGGCAAAGCTGGCAGGCATGATTTAAGGAAAGAGGGAATGATGGCAGGATACAGAGATGCCCTGCACAGAACCAGGAGAAGCAGCTCTCTGGAAAGGGCCTGTGAGGAGGGAGACCACGAGGAATGCTCTGGATAGGGGAGGGAGGGGGAGGGCGAAGAGCAGAAGAGTCAGGGTCATGGCCGTCCTCTCCCCTTCTGCATAGCTGGGATTTGGCTCCTGCTCACATGTCCTACATGTGATTTAATATCTCTACTGCATCAAAAATCCCACCAAGGATTATATGAACTGTCACTCTATCTCCTTCTTTAAAGTCACAGGGTGCTTAGGGGCTCTTTGGCCCTGTGTCAAAAAGCAGATCTCCCAAATTCCTCCACACATACTGCTGGTATTCTCCCCACTCTCGTCCATTACCATGTCCGTGGTACCCCCCTCCCACTCTCACCATGCCTGGCTATTATTCTATCAAGCTGGACCAACTACTAGGGAAGTGTCCCCAGCCCCTTTGAGAAAGAGGATGAAAGGAGTGTGTCAGCCATCACTGAGAGCTAGAGAACTAAGATTTGGGGCCTCCATGAGCAGAGGGATCTGAAAGATAAAGGCTATCTTGTAAACCAGGCCAGCTCAGGGTCCCCAAGAAGAAGGTGGGCATGGGGAAGAGGCAGGGCAGCTGGCTTTACTTACGGACTGGCTGTGTCTTGAACCCGGAGGCTGCGCTGATCTCTCCCAGCCCCTTGCCATTGAGGGCCGCCAGCCGCACCTCATATGTCGTCTCAGGTTTCAGGCCCACGATGGTGACGATGCCCTCCATGTTGGCTGTTGTGAGAAGAAGGGATGGATCACAAAAGAGTAGAAGCCTCCTGGTGACATGAAGCTATGGAGAACAGTCTGGCAGGTCATCACAAAGGTGAACAGAACTGTCACTTGATTCAGCAGTTCAGCTTCTGGGCGGATACATTTATGAAATCAGGGACTCAAATAGATACCTGCACACCCATGTTCACAGCAGCAGTCCTCACAACAGCCAAAGCTTAGAAAACAACCCCAATGACCGGTCACAGATGGATGATTGGATAAATGAAATGTGGTAAAGATGGATAATAGGATGTTGTTCAGCTTTAAAAAAGGGATGGAAATCTGAGACATGGCATAACGTGGGTGAATCTCATATCATGTTAAATGAGATACGGAGACATGAGAAGGGACAAATATTGTATGATTCCACTTCTATAAGGTAATGAAGATAATCAGCTACCCAGAGAGGGAAAGTAGAAGGGTGGCCATCAGGGACTGGAGGGAGGAGGGGTAAAGGGGAGGTAGTGTTCACTGGGTAAAGAGTTTCAGTTTGGAATGACAGAAAGGTCTGAAGCTGGACAGTGGAGAAGACTTCATGCTACTGAATTATACACACTTAAAAATGGTCAAATGTAAATTTACATTATGTATATTCTACCATAATAAGTCAAAAACCTAGAACTGATGTCTAAAAGAAAGACATTTTTAAAAAGCCTGGCATCCATTGTAACATGGGACCAAACTGCCACAGAGGCAGTATAAGATTTCAGAGTGAAGTTAGGAAGCTAAAAGGACTGTTTTCTTCTCCAATCCTGGTTACACAGTAATTCCTGTCAGTCCCCCCACCCCCACCCCCACCATCCCCACAGGCTGACAGTGTGATGGAGCTTCATGGCGGAACTAATCTCAGTAAAAGTGCAATGGGCCTCATCTCTGAAAGGCTGTGACACTTGATATGCCAGTCCATTCCCATTTCCACACCAGTTTCCACACACCAGACTAGGACTACACATTCCTACAGAAACACAAGAGATTTCACTGAGCTCTCTCAATTCAATCCCAAAAGGGGGATTGAGATGTAAATATATTCCATCTTCAAATGGATGGGCTCAGACCTTTAAATTGCAGTAGCCCGGGGGTCATTTTCTTCATCTTTAGCTTGGAAAGATACCATAGAATTGATTTTGGAGCACATTTGTCTCCCTGGCTCTGCTTATTTGGTTATTATCATAATTACATGACACTCCCTAGGTACAGACACCCACATAGGACTGGCCAGTGTCAGGTAGAGACCCTGAAGTCCATAAGCAGAGCAGGAGTGCAGTGCACTCATGTGGTTGTGCTCAGCACCCACGCAGGGTTTCTGCCTGGAATGCCACCAAGATGACCTCATTCGTCCTGGCAGGGTCATGAGAACTAAGCTCTGAGGGCCAGCAATTCTCTATTGAGATATGACCATGACCTCATTCTGGGCGGGACAGTTCCTAATTCCGCAGGACCCCAGATGGGACGGCAGGTGGTGACATCTGGCATGCTTCAGTAGGTAAGAGTGGCGTGCCACTGACTCAAATGGGAAGGCAAGGCAGGACTTGGAGAATGCTGGGGGCAAGTGTGTGCCCCCGGATGGAGTAGCAGGGGCCATACAACTCTACAGGAGAAGCCACGGCTCTGACTCACCTTCTTTGGCATCATACCACTTGACATGCCATGCTTCTTCTCCCAGTGCTCTCCATTCAGCCTTGTATTTGAGGATGGGCACTCCACCTGTGGCCTCTGGCTCATCAAACTGCACCTGTGCTGTGCTGGAGTATGGCTCCACCTGGTCGATGGATGGTGAAGATGGGGTATCTGTGGAGAGGACACATATGGAGACCCAGGTGAGCCCAGTTTGGCCCAGGACCACAACTTCCAATTTCAAAGCATGTCTCTCTTATTTCTGCTCACTCTTAGGAATCCTGTCACCTGTTTTCTGTCCTCTCGACCCCCTTCATCTATGATTCTCTCTCTGTACATCTCATATTTAGATCCTTACACCTCCAGTTGCTTCCTGATCATCTGGCTTTGTTGGCCTTGGCTTTCTTTACCCCACTAGACTGGTATTCTTGAAGTATCCTGGTTACCCTGATAAGGGTATGGGCAGTGTGGAAGCCACCACGAGAGGCACTTACCTGCTTGAACAAGGATGAATTCCAAGGACTCTTGTCCGATGCGGTTCACTGCAGTACAGTTGTAATTTCCAAAATCATTTTCAGAGTCTGGGGTCACCTTTAGAAGGAAGGAGCCTTTAGGGTTACAAGGGTACCATGAAATGGCCACAGATGCAGATCTTTACTTACTGAATTAGACAAGAATAGAACTAGTAAAGCACAAATCATTAGTACCAGCCCACCCTTGAATAAGACAGGAGAAGAGCCCATGGATCATGGGAGAGGTTTTTTTCCAGGCCCCAGTCCCAGTCTAGCTACATGGAGCACACAGGTGCAGTTGAGAAAGGTGACCAGGGGTGAGGCTATTTCTTCTCCAGCCAATGGCTCTCCAGTTCAGGATGTGCCAGAGAAGTGAGAAAACGTGAGTTGCATCCAAAAGCCTACCCATCATCAAACAGCCTAGTCTATACAACCCTTTGCCCCTTCCTACTTACCTCCAGATAGCTGGCAGAGGGAGTGTTGTAGATCTTGATATTGCTAAAGTTGGAGCTTGGCAGTAACTGGCCATCTCGGAACCAGGAGATTGTAGCACTGGGGTAGGCAAAAACCTCACAGGTGATATTCACCTGGTTCCCCTCCCAAGTGTACACAGCCACAGGGCCCTGTAGCTTGGGGGAATCTGCAATAAATGACAATGACTATCAGGGTGACCACCACTATCTTGGAGCCCCCCATTCTGTCTCCTGGTACTAGGAAGATAGGCATGCTTTGAAGCAGACCTAGCACATGGTATAGGATAGGTCAGGATCACGTCAGTATTCCTGTGCACATGCACTGCATAGGAAGCCTCAGAGCACACAGAAGGCTTGTAAGAAGTCTAGGGATGGTGTGTGGCAGGTGGCTTTAGGACAGAACTCTGAAAGGGGCCAGGGAACATAGCAGAGCTCACGGGGTAAGCTTAGGTCCTGGGTACTATTTCCCTCTCTCATCCTGACCCTGAAGGGCTCTTCCCCACCCCCAAGTCTTTCCCCAGTTATTCCTCACATTGCACTTCAAGGTACATGGACTGGGAGTCCTGGCCGATGGTGTTGCTGGCAGTGCAGATGTACTCTCCAGCATCTGTGTACTGGATGCTCTTCAGGGTCAGGGATGACACGCGGGCATGGCTGCGAACCACCATGTGCCCGTCCAGAGTCTGCCAGGAGGGAAAGGGGAGCATCAGAGTCCGAGACAAGGCAGAGGGCCATGCAGCTATAGCTATAGCTATAGGAGACTAGTTCATCACCTATCTATGATGAATCTCACATCCTCTCTCCTCTCTGGGCCAACATTTAAGTCTGACTTTAGGTATTACCTAATGGGGGATGTTCCGTGAGCACCATGGGAACTTTGGTGTATCCAAAACAGGAAATGGGACTTGATTATGTCAAATGACCTGAACTGTGTGCCAAGATTGGTTTGGGGCAAGGACAGACTAGGTCCCACAATACTACTTTGGGATGAGTGAAATAGAGGCAAAGGCCCTGGCCAGCATAGATCTCAGCAGCAATGGCCTTGCCTTGGGAGATCCTGGAAATATGCATCCCTGATCTTTCCTTCCAGTTTTCCCACCTCCAGCCCTATGTGCATGCTCATGAGATAGGAACTTCAAATGTGCTCACTGAAAGAACGTATGCAAGAAAGCCATTCTCTGCAGATGTCTCTATTTCCTGGATACTTAAAAGCTGAAATTATCCATTAAAAAAAGTCAAACAATTCAAAGCTCAGGATCTGCCGAGATAGAATTGAGGGTAACAGGATCCCCTCTCTAAGAAGAGTGATAAAGAGAGCCCCAGGCAGATCTGGGATCCTTGACACCATAGTCTCCATTTTCTAGTTCTTAATTCTGCTATTGGCTTCCTGAGTCACTGGAATGACAGTGATCAGTCAAGAGAATAGCATATGATCCTAATGCAATGAATACTGGGATATCTCCAAGGGTTTTTAACTCGTGACATTCTAAGTAAAATGGTTGCTGTCTCTGAATGGGTGTAGGCATATGGCCCAAGTCCAGATCCTTCAGAAAGCTGATAATCTGATGAAGGGGTCAGACTCCTTGAAGGCTGGGTCACCCTCATTTCAGTGTATGATATTCTGTAGAAAAGGACAGGACAGTACTCTGCATCTGGCATCTGATGGGCTTGTCTTTAGAGAATGAAAGACCACCTGGCTTCAGATTCTTTTAATATGCTGGTTTGCAAACCTGAAGTCCAGAGATGTAGTGTCTTATGGCAGCCTGGGAAGCCCAAAAGCCAGGCACCACTGGCCTTGCTCAGTAGATCTAGCACAGGAAGTTCCTTACACTAGCATTAACAGAACTAGTCCTTTTCAGTCATCTAAGCCCCATCACATGTCATATCTGGAAGCTACAGCATGTTGCCGGTAAGAGGAAGAAGGGCCAAGCAAAATCATCACTGCCTCCTGCTATGAGCATGTCCCCTTCCTGAGACCAATGCCCTGGTGTTCCCATTGGGCCAGCGAAGGTAGGAAGATGCTTGATTGAGAAGCTGCATCCCAAGAGATGGCACACACTAATAAGAGATGCCAGCAGACAGGTGTAGGGCACTTCCTAGATAATCAATTTGTTGGAGATTCTGGATCCTGGGACTCCTTTTCTTGTGGGCTGCCAGTGCTTACTGATCCAACCCAGTGGCTATTTTTAAATGCCAAACAAAAATCTTTACCTGTCAGTCTGCATTAGGGCCATGGAGGCATGAAGCCATTCCTGCAGGGACCTCTAAAGGCTGACCTGATCTGCCTCTCACTCATATTTCCCCCTATACCCAGCAGATATAGGGGACCTGAGGCCCATCCCTGGCTTTTCTGGTCATCTCAGTGATCTCAACCGTGAGATGAACTATGATTCTTTGGACCCATACTGGACTTGTCATTATGCCCTATGCCATAATCCCCAGGAAGCCAAGAGAACAATTCCATGTGAAAGATAGGGAAAGAAAGTCATATAGGTAAGAATGGGACAGTGATAGCAACAAAGTAGGGGGATGAGCAGTCTTTACTTAGAATAATCTAGAAAACATTTAAAAAGAAGCTTAGAAAACGGTTATAGGGACAGCTGTACTTTTTTTTCCCCTTTCAATATGGTCTCTTTTCCCAGGCTTCTCTATATGGAAATTTCTCTTGTTTAATGATGTCAACAGACCAGAAGGCAATCCTCTATAGAGAATTCTTATTTTGTAGGGGCTCACTGCAGGTGTGATGGTGGGATTATTTGCCAGATGCCCAGTTGTCCCTTTGAGGATATGCAGATAACACTCCAGTGTGATTGGCCTCTCTCTCTCTCTAAATTGTTTTATTCTGGCATCAGGATAAAGCCCCAGAGTGCCACCTATAAGCCATCCAGACCAAAAGCCAGGCTGACTGTCTTGGCTGCCCCAGAGGAAGCAGATGAACTCTGGGCAAGAGTTAAAAGATCATTATGGAAAAAGATGCCCTTAAAAAAATCCATGAAGGGTGATTATAATTTTTCTTCCCATCAAAGCATTTTTGTCTCTCTTCTTACAGGTAAAAGTGCTAAGGCTTTTCAGAGCTTATTAGAATGAAAGTGGCCATAACCCAAACCTTCTTTTGCTCTCATCTGGGCTTATGGTTTTCATCTTTGAATGAGATAAATAGGAGAGAATGAAACTTCTGAGCCCCACGGGTGGCATTCACTTAGAAGTCAATTATGTCCAAAGTGCGACATTTCTGATAAAGACACTTTTGGAAAACAGAATCCAGTGTCTGCTTTCTTGGGAGTAAATCTATTATTTTCACTTACAATAAGAATTCTCTTCCCAATCCACAAGAAGGGGAAAAAAAAATCTCTTAACAGCTCCTTGGGGCTCTCTGATAAATTTTAGCTCCTCCTCTTACCAGGTCTAGGTCAGAATGACAGAAGGAAGATGTACAAGGCAAAGCAGAATGAGATCTGCATCTACTTAAGACTGGCTGATAATTAACCCTTCTTCTCTTCCTTCCCCAATCCCAATGGGTCAACGACTTCTGGGTAATAAAACACCCAGCCTGTGACGGCACTAAATGATTCTGGTGCCTCAGGAGTGAAGCATTTCAGTGTGGACATGTACTGAACCACAGTCCCTACGCCATCGGGGAAGGTAGGACACAAAGAGAGCTAATAATGAACTGGATTTGACAATGGCAGCATGTTCATGTGCAGAAACTAATATCAGTGCCTGGGGATAGGCAGTCAACTTTTAAATATTTAGCAGCATTAAATATTGATAACCATGACCTGAACACATGAGCCATGTGCTCTGAATAATTATCATTCCTGAAAGACTAAGAGGATAGGTTTACCAAATTAAAATACCGAATCTATAGGCTCTTCTGTGTTTATATTCTTATAGAATCGAAGACTCATTTGGAGAAAGAAGGCAAAAGCTATTTTAATAAAATGTATTTATAAATTCGATCCTTGAATGTCATCTAAAATAGATAGGTTTTTATTTTACTATTTTGGTCACTTAATCACAAATCAGGTTTAAAAAAAATGACAGAAGTGATCATAGATAGGGCCTGGGAGTGTAGCAATTAAAATCTAAAGGTTAATGTTTAGCTTCAGTTTTCAAACTAAGTCCTACATTACCTAAACCAAAGAAAGTAAGCAAAGAAATTTCAAAGGCTAAATGCTACTGACTTTACAAAACATAAACCCATTTGTACCAAATCATTTCAATCTCATAAATTTAATGCTCTATAAAAGTAACAGACATGTTTAGCAATTTGGAAAAACCAATGAGAGATGTCATTCGTGTAGCTTTTGAGATGAAATGTGATGTGATAATCTACCAAGACCGATCATTATAAAATAAGTGAGCAACAAGATGAGTTGAGCTGGAAAGGAAAGGGCTGAGCAGGTTTTAGATCACTAACTCTGTGACTTTATGGTCCAAAGCCACATCTACCATGTGAGAATAAAAACAAAAAATTCATTGTTTCAAAATGCCTGGCCTGGGCATTGGGGCAATTTATTTCTATCAATATAATTACCTGGATGTGATTTTACCAGCACCAGCAAGAGAATAAGATCCAGTTTTAGAAAATAATAAGAATTTGTTCATCCACTCCCAACACAGCTTGCTTGCTCATCCTAAAATGACACTATTGCTAAGTAATGTCTACCACTATTGACCTATTCTTTAATCTAACTAAAGTACTAATTAGTTTAGCGTGCCTGGTTATTAAACTGTAATGGTAAGTTAAACTGCAATGCTTTCAAAACTAAAGACTGGCTAGTGGTCAGGTAAGCTATACCTCTTGCTTCTCTGGTCGAGTCCACGAAGCCTGGAGAGAACAAGATATAAAACACAACAAGAAAGCAGTAAAATTTTACAACATGTTGCTTTAGAGAATTGATGTACCACACTGCATTCCGTGCACATGCAGCTTCCTCTTAATTCAGAACTTTTTCCAAGGCCCACTTTCAATGGTGTGTTTATTACCCAATTTAATTCAGGATTTAGCCTATGTTCAGCTTTTTCCCCCTTAGTACGTTAAAATTATACGTTTGTATAATTCAATCGTAAAGGCATTCCTAATCTTTGGTAGACATACATACATATACCAGCAGATATATTAGACTGCTTATGTTGCAAAACATCTTAAATATTCTTCATAGTACTAGATGACACTACTGATTCTAACCACATCATCTAGAAATACTTAAGAGAGTAAGGTTTCCTCCTCTGAGTTTTATTAGACAGCATATCACAGATACACTAATGCCATTTTATGCTCATGCACTTTATAATTCTTTGCATGCATTCTATTAAAAGTGAATTTTTTTAAAAAAAAGGGAACAAATAAAGGAGAGGAGAGGCACCTTAGGAATGAGAGTTATGAAGTCTTTTGGGACTGTGGGTAAGGAAGCTTAAGGATGCTGGGAAGCTGTGGTAGGGCTCTAGTCCTTAAAGGCAGAGAATGCCCAGTTGGCACATGGGCTCAAGTATGGACCATCTTCATCCAATATGGCATTCACAAGAAAGTAACCCAACTCGCAGCATAGAGGTTTGGGGCATTTTCCATTCTCATCTAGCTATTTTTATGTATCTAGCACTTGGGCATATAGTCTGCTTTTTCTGTTTTCATATTAGGAGTCAAAGACATCATAGCTGCATTGTTCTTTTTATTAGGTGG